GTTTCTATTTACCTATAGCACTGTGCCTCCACAATATATATATATATATATATATATATATATATATATATATATATATATGGATGCAGTGTAGCTAATCCCTCTTTTATATATAATTTTCATTAAATACGACTGGCAAGATATTACGATTGAGCTTTTTATTCAATTTTTCCTGTGTTCGTACAAGTGTTTTCTTTTTTGCACACAAAATGTGTAAAAGTGTGTAAAAGTTCTACATCTCCGTGTTTGGAAAATAAACATTCCTATAACTGCAGACATATACATAAAAAGCACACACACATTCACTTAAAAAAGTATACAGAAAAATCACCCTTGATAATGGCTGAAAGGATAGCTGAAAAAGTTCCGATAAGTAGAACCTTTGGAAGGTTTTTACATACTTTGTGTTCAGAAAAGAAAACACTTGTACGAAAAAACAAAAACAATTACATAAAAAGCTTAAGCGCAATAATTTGTCAGATGTCTTTAACAAAAATATATATATATATATATATATATATATATATATATATATATATATATATATATATATATGCTGTTCACGTATTTGAATTGTAACGTTCGAAAAATACCAAACTGTAGCCAACAAAATCTTGTCTACCATACTAACAACATTTATTTCTTCGTAATGTCTGAGGACAGTTGAAAGTACTTGATATTAATAGTATTTGAATGTTTTGGATCGAACGCTTTGAACACTTTTTCTGGTCTTGTATTTCTACAAATCACCAGATTTTGAAAATGATCAAAAATATGATTCAAAGCATTGGATCCGAAATATTCGAAAATATATCCTGAATCCAAACATACGATCTTTTGTACGTAAACTATAAAATTACATTAGAATATAAGAAAACGATAATTTCTGGCATTTTTAATGATATAAATGAAAAACTACTAAATAAATTTATATATATGTGTATATGTATATGAGTGTATATGTAAAAATGTGTTTGCTAATTCCTCGTAGTGAGACAGTTTTTATGTATGGAGAGGGAATATACATATATACACGCATCCTGACAAAAACACACGAAAATGGAAATAGATCTAAGAACACAGGGGTCATTAAAAGATAAGAATGCCGATAACTCCTTTACCATTTCTCGGACCATTCTTAATTGTTTTATAAACCTTCATGCAGAACTTTTCACTGTGTAGGCACAAATCTAAACATAGATCAACAATAAAAGATTAAGTATATTCAGTGGATTACCAATATTAAAGTAAATGTATGTTTTTTAAAAAGTTAGAAATATTGGTGTAAGGATTTTCTTTGTTAGACACTGAAGTAAAATATGTTTCTCAAAAGCGATTAAACAAGAAATTATTTTTTAGTTCTTGCGTTTACGATGTCGAAGACCTTGGGAAGGTTAAATCAAATGTTTAAAAAAAAACTGTAAAAGGGGTTTCAATGATTTCTATCAACTTTACGTCAGTTATAATTGCATTTTAAGTGAAATAATTCATTTTACATTGATATACATTTAAGACTCGAACAAAGACGCAATAAAATCAAACTAATTGCTTATGCGTAATAAAAAAAACGAAACTATACAAACTGTGAACATCTATCTATCTATCTATCTATCTATCTATCTATCTATCAATTTAATTATCTATCTAACTCCATGATCTTATTGATGTCTGCATAGTATGTGTTACTTCAGGTACCGTTTTGGAATAAAATAATATATATATATATATATATATATATATATATATATATATATATATATATATATATATATATATATATATTCAGTTGTATGTATATGAGTTTGTGACTCTGGGATTCAAGCATTTGCGATCATCATTTTATTTTTTTAAATTGGATCTATTTATGCTTGTTGAATATGTTTGGTGGTGGGAGGGAGAATCTACTTCTGTGTTTGTTTGGGGTGGCACTCTCACACGCATAGACGCACATACACACAGTTGAACGCATTTTTGTTCACACAAACACATCCATATAAACAATCCGAGTCCAGGCGCAGATACATATCCATGCGTTCGGGCATGCATACATACGCAGTTGTAATTCTATTTTGGTGTCGAGACCCTAGTTTTTATATATGTAGCGATGTTCCTTTCAACAAGGAGCGGGTAAGAGTGTTCTTGAAGCTTTTCAGTCCTACCGTCTGCGCCGTCAGAGAAACTTACACTTCCTCACACGCTCATATTCATATAACTCAATATGCTGTCTATCACTGATATTGAGCGCTTTCCAATAAGTACTGCTCATATAAAATAATATATATATATATATGTGTATGTGTGTGTGTGTGTGTGTGTGTGTGTGTGTGTGTGTGTGTGTGTGTGTATTGGGGTAGTAGATCCCTATTCAAACATATATTGTCAAATATAACAGACAACAAATGTCTATTGTAATGTCCATGTAACCATTCTGATGATGGCTCATGGGATCCGAAAGCTTAGATCGAGAAACAGAATAATAAAAAAGATATTCAAATGTTGGACAGTTTTTGTTTTATTATCTCACAAAACTAAAGCCATTATACGAAGCTTAGAACGGCTCATGATCAAACATAATAGACATTCGTTGTTTGTCATATTTAACAATATGTTTGAATATATATATATATATATATATATATATATGAAAAAGAAAATTATGCAAAAAGTAGCGATAAAAGCATTAAAAGCGAACGGAGGAAAAATAGATAGTTGCATGTAAAGATATAAAGGAAGAGGAGGAGAGAAGAGAAGGAAATCGAACAAGAAAGACAAATAGAAGCATAAAGGGAGAAGGGGAGAAAGGAAGAAAGAATGATAGAATTATATAAGAGATAAAAAGAAACAAGATGACAGAAGAAAGAAATTAAGTAAGAGAGAGAGAGAGAGAAACAGACAGAAACATGTAAATAGAGAGAGAACAATCTCAGCCAAACGAGTAGTATGACTGGAAAACTTGAAGTTGGAAAGATAAGTCTTCTGAACTTTTCTTTTTATCTATCTATCTATCTATCTATCTATCTATCTATCTAACTCGATGATCTTGTTAATGACTCCATCGTATGTGTTACTCCAAGTACTTTTTTCAAATCAGAGTTGTCATTTTATATCATCAACGTTTTCATTTTAGTCTTTTATGTGTATTGTCGAAGAGAACATCCTTTGTCCATTTTATTCTCCTCATTGGTCTTTTGTACAGAAGTAGTTAAGTCAAATAAAAAAGACTAACGTAAAAGACCTTTAATGAGTTCTATCATCATTACATCACTTATTATTGCCTTTTAAGTGAAATAATTCATTCTAAATTGTCTTATATTTAAGAGTCAAACAAAAATACAATGAAATCAAACTAATTCTATCTAATAAGAAAAAAATGTAAGAATACAAACAGTAAAGATCTTTTTTCTTTTTCTTTTTTTTTTCCAATCAACTAATATGGTTAAATAAAAGGTAACTTACCGGTCTGTAATACTGGGTTTTTCACTTGTAAAAAGTTTGCTTGGATGTGAGAGAGTCTGCTAGAGCACCTGAGTTATATGTTGGTTGACACAGCCCCCAACAGTAATGATGGGATACACCCACACTTTCGTCTCTTTCTTTACTAATACTACAAAGCCCATCACCATCTGTTCATTCCCACCTTCCCATTGCCCACCGCCGGAAATTGCTGCGTTGTGATTGGCTGATTAGTTTGTCAAAGACCACGCCCACCTGTAACTAGTGAAAACTCATGCGCGAGATACGTGACAGCATTTTATACATGTGTTGCTTGTTATTGCTACCTGGAAGGATCGGTCTATTTTCACTTAACCATTTTTTTTTCTCCTCCTCCTCTGGAAGGATCGCTTGATTTCATTTAGTCTGTCTCCTTCTCTGGATATCTCGCTCAATTTCGCTTAGTCTATCTACGTCTTATCACTCCTCCTCTGGAGACCTCGCTTCATTTCCTTTTTAATATTATTTTTATTCCTTATCCTCCCCCTCCTCATCCTTGTCCTCCTATTCTTTTTCTTTTTCTTCTTTTTTCTTTTTCTTCTTTTTCTTACTTTTTTCTTTTTCTTCTTTTCCTTTTTCTTTTTCTTCTTCTTTTTCTTTTACTTCTTTTACTTTTCTTCTTTTTTCTTTTACTTCTTTTACTTTTCATCGTTTTGTTTCTCTTCTTTTCTTCTTCTTTTCTTCTTCTTCTCTCCCACTCTCTCTCTCTCTCTTTATTTTAATCGCTTTGTATTTTTTTCTAATATACTTTCTCTTTCCTTTTCTCTTATTTTATCAATCTTTTTCTAATTATTTTGCTCTCTATCTTTCTCTCTCGCATTACTTACTTTTGTCCTCCCTTTCCACCCACTCTATTCATGAAACTTTCTCTCCTCATCTCTTTTAAATAACCTTCCGACCATCCTATCTGCTGACATAGAGGTCCGAGATCGTGCAACATTTATTTCATCCCCAAACAAAATCAGCTAAGCAGAGTTCGAATTTCACCTGAGGCCACTCCTGTTGACTTAGCACTAAAGCCCTTGCTGATAGTTTCAACTCCTAACTATGCAATCAATTCTGTCATTAGTCATTTTGACAACAACTATTTACAATAGCATGTCACATCTATTGACAGGGGAAAAAAGAGTGGGCGTGTAATTACATGCGAAAACCACTCTCCTATATTTATTCACCAGGAATAATAACTATAAAAAGTTGAAACAGCTATATCGACCCTAACTTTCATCAGATGAATTGTTCTAAAAAAAAACATCACTGTTTATTGCAGCCGCGTTTGCTTTTAGGGTTGTTCCCGCCTTTTTTTTAACATTCATTCAACCTATGTTCGTCTGTCTGTCAATCGATCTGCCTACCTAGATAGCTCGGTGTGTCCAAATTTCACTTTCTCTCTCTCTCTCTCTCTCTCTCTCTCTCTCTCTCTCTCTCACTCTCTCACACACACACACACACACACACACATACACACACTCACACACACGCTCTCACTCTTGCTATCTCTCTCGCCCCATCTCTCTCTCCTTCACTCTCTCTCTCTCTCATTCTTTTCCTCTAAGAAGCGTTTTCTTTATCTATCTATCTACCTATCTATCTATCTATCTATTAAATCTCACCCAAACGAGCAGTGTGTCTGCGAAACTGGAAGTTGGGAATTAAAGTCTTTTGAACACATCTTTATCTATCTATCTCTCTCTCTCTCTCTCTCTCTCTCTCTCTCTCTCTCTATATATATATATATATATATATATATATACTCCGACTACATGAATTATATATATATATATATACATATATATATACTCCGACTACATGAATTTAAGCGCGCTAGCCGATTGGCATCTAAATCCCACCCATTTACTGTTGAGGTAGCAAAATGGAGCCGTCATTTCTACTCCATCAGTTTCTTTTCTCGCACTTCCCGACTGTGGGACTCAAATCGGTTTACTTGCTTCTCGGATAACTACAACCTTCAAAAGTGTAAATGCAACGTCAATTGCCATCTTCTGTCTTTTTGAATTCCGTTCATTTTTTGTCCTTTCCACAATCCACCCTATACTCAGTCTTTTTTCTCACATTCAATCCCTGCAGACCCTTGAGTTCTAGTGGCATTTTCGCTTTGCTTGGGGTGAAATGAATAATGCAACACACACACACACACACACGCGCGCGCGCATATATATATATATATATATATATATATATATATATATATATATGCGCGCGCATATATATATATATATATATATATATATATATATATATATATGAGGAAAATTACATAAGGAAAGTAGCGATAAAAGACATTAAAAGGCGAAGGGATAAAAAGATAGATAGTTATATGTGAAAATATAAAGGGAGAGGAGGAGAGGAGAGAAAGAAATCGGACGAGAAAGAAAGATAGAATCATATAAGAAGAGATAAATAGAAAGTAAGAGAGGACAGAAGAAAGAGATCAAGTAAGAGAGAGAGTGACAGATAGAAAGATGTAACAAGAGAGAGAACAATCTCAAACGAGCAGTATGTCTACGGAACTTGAAGTTGGTAAGATAAGTCTTCTGAACTTTTCTTTATCTATCATTCTATATTATTCTCTTCATATCTATCTATTTATCTATCTATCTCCATGATTTTGTTGATGTCTGCATAGTATGTGTTACATCAGAAAATCAGTGTCATTTTCTATCGTGAGCGTTCTCATTTTAGTTTTTATGCGAAATGTTGAGGAGCACACCACTTGTCCTGTTCACACTCCTCTTCTGTCTTTTGAATAGGAATGATGGTTTATCCCTGATTTCATATTCAAGATTGAGTTTCAGATTCCTTCTAAAGTCCTTTTCATTCCCTTTCACTGTCAGTAGCCTCTTGACTCTTAGTGGTATTATCGCCTAGCATTGGCGTGAATTAATTAAACAAAACCTTTTATGCATGCCTTTCTGCAAGACATTTTAAAGAATATGCGTGAAGTATTGGAATGAAGAAATTTACATCGAATTTCAGCCGTCTCTATAACAACAGTGGCCGATATAGTTCAAGCGTCGTCCACGTAAGATGAGTCCTCGTGCTGGGGGATTCGTTTTAAAATCTCATCAGAAGCTACTGCTTTACCCCGACGTCAAACATTGCTTACATAATGATTGAAGTCTCTCTTGATCGGAGGAGGGCTGTCATAGCTTTATCGCTGTTCATCGTGGGCATTGCGTCTTGAACCAGAAACCGGTTGGGTTTCAGATGGCGTTTCTTGAGTCACCGTCGTGGCAATATGCAGAAAAAGCGGCGTGATTGAAAAGTGACCCAGTAGTGATATGGGACAACCGTTAATACGTAATACACGCTTGGGCGATCATGTCTCTTTCGATTCGTGACTGACTTTCCCCGCAGTAGGTTGCCGTTTCTTTATGCGGTAGACTGGTTATTCAACCCATAGCGGGAGGAGAGAAGAGTTGGATTCATAGTTTTCCCAAGGGTATGTGAGCGTAAGGAACCTGACAGGGATTCGAACTCTGCCCTCCGATTTCTCTGCCCGAGCCGATATCCATTACACCGGTCGTTACTAGTCTTTTGAAATGGAGAAAGTAAACCTCATAAAGCTCACTGGTCTAGACAGACTAGCTGGCAAAATAGCTCCACTTTTACCTATGGATCTTGAATTCTCTTAAAGGGATAAATTCATGTCTTTCTCGGGGGCAGTAGCGACAAGGACATGTCTGGAATTTGAAGCCAAGTAAATCGGGAGACGATTGAGTAGCGCCAGTGCACCACGAGCCTGGGCGGGATATATGGAGAACTAGGGCTGCCCGGACGTCTAGTTCCCCCTTTCGGCCTTGCTAGCAGATTCCAATGGAAAGGATGAACCAATACAGTTTGGTACCAGCGCGGCTGCAGGAGTTGCCAGAAGGCAGCACAGAGTGCCGTCCATCCGCCTTAGGGGATCCATTCCTGATTTGTGTAGGGTTTACTCCTTGGCCTTTTCTTCTACCGAAGATTTCCCCAAGGCAGTGGAGCTATTTAACCCATAGCTGGGGTTTGGTTTATGAGCACCAGGGCGTGTCCACACACCAGTGGGCCTGCATGCCGCATGTTAAGGGGGTCAAACTCCTCCCCCCGTCCCTTGTAGTTTAGCCTAAGTCCACAAGGTGCTCGGTTGCTATGTGTCTCCACGAGGAGGCACTGCATAGGGCTTGCTGATGGAGAGGCTATATACTGGCAGGGGAAGACTTACACACTCGGCTCCCCTTTTCGCATTTCTGCTAGCCAGCGGCGGTAGCTGAAAGTGAGAAGCGACAAGCACTACCACTGCAGACTAGCACACTAGACGCATCACAACAGCCGTTGAGACACACAAATGTACGGGTAGTCTTAGGGTTATTAGCGCAGGGACATGAATCGTGGTAAAAACTGGTTTCGTTTGGTTTGCTTTGTTTTACGGTATATTAACCTCAATGGGTTATTTAATGCCGACAATTTTCAGTTGGTAATTTTTCTTCCAAAAATCTGTTTCTGTTTTGTTTTTTTTTTTTTTTTTCTTCAAAAAATGTATTGCTGGTAATAATTTTTTATACAAAGTATTTATGGTATTAAAACCCATTTTTACACTTTCATAATGTTTTGATCCGAGTTTAGTGGGGGTTAATGATTTTCCCATAGCTGGGACCCTAATAGGTGCTACCACCCCGGGTCAGGGTGGACCTGGGAACATCATCAATTAAGAGGTGATTCCACGCACCTCAAAACCTACTGATCAGAAGTTTTGCTGCTGGACGTAGTTTATCGCCTTACCCAGGACGCGGATGTAGTTTATCGTCTTACCCAGGACGCGGATGTAGTTTATCGTCATACCCAGGACGGCGTGGTAAAGAGTCTCAATAATAATAATAATAATACATTGACATAGTCGGAAGTCAACCGTAGTCGTCATTGTGAACTGCATAATCTTGTTGATTGCGGCATGGTAAGTGCTACCCCAGGGTCACAGACGGTTTTGAATTCAGAGTTTTCCTTCTCCAGTACTGGTTGTCAACCACAGCTGGAGAGTCTACTCGCCCTGCTATTTAATCTCTAACAAATGGAAGAGATCGATCCATGCCTTTTCCAAGCGTATTTGTGTGAAATTGAATGTAACGAACTTGACTGAAATTCGAACTCGTATCACCGATTTCTCGTGTGATCCGCTAACCATTACATTGTACGTCATATAGAAAATTCTATATTAGCCCAGCATCGGCGGACATGTCGTAATATTAACCAACCTAAACTCTTTCTTTCTTTCTTTTAAGTCTTACGACCACATAACGTTAAAACATCGGTTCCCTTACGATCACCGAGGTTAAGCAACGTCGTACCTGGTCAGTACTTAGGTGGGTGACTGTTTGGTAATACCAGGTGATTGGTTGTGCGAGTGGTGTAATAGAATTGTTAATCGGAGAGCCGAGTTCCAATTCCAGTTTGGATCCTTATATTCACTTACGCGCAAATAAGCTTTTCACCTATTCCCCCCGCCACAGCTATTTGATGGGTTAATTAGGAAGGCTTGTATCACTAAACCATTATTATCACCAAAAATAAAATAAAATTGCATGCAGAATATCTAGATTTCGGCATTAAATAACCCATAAAGATGTTGATATGCCGCTAAAAAAACAACAACAAAAAAAAAACAACCAACCAAGTTATTTATTTTAATTTTCATTTCTTTGGAAAGTTTAAACATCTTCGTTGTCGCTATCGCTTTCTTACGCGCATGCGCGCGTCGGTGAGTGTGCGTGCGCATGCGCACATGTACACATGCTTGTACTTTCTACCTTTTCCATTAGGATTCTCCTGATCCTTCTGCTGCGGCTGCTATTTTCAAGATATTCGTTCTGCTCCGACCTTTACGTGGGATAGCAGCCAACGCCCACAGTTTCTCCCACTTGACGATCAGTGACGTGAGATCGATATCCGACAACGTTCAGTATTGCATGTCCAAGAGCTTCACTCATTAACTCTCTTTTCATCTCTTGTTTCTTACCCTCTCTCCTCCTGTATAATCTCAGTTTTAACTAATTCGTCTTTCTTCCTTTACATGTTTCTATCTCTATTTTTCATTTTTTATTATTGTCTTCCCCACTGCCTCTCTCTCTCTCTCTTTCATTCTTTACCTGTTTTTATCATTATTTCTTTCTTATTTAATTTCTTTATTCTTAGCTTTGTTTCCATATTTCTTTACCTCTCTTTTTGTCTCTCACTATAGCCACCTTATTCTTATCTTATCTCTGCCCTGTTTTCTACATGTTTCTATCTCGATCCTTTCATCAATTACCCTCTCTCTTTTTACGTATGTATATCTCTCGCTTGTTTGATAACTTTCTCCCTCTCCTTCTTTATCTCTTCTTATATGTCGCTGTCACACCATCCTCTCTCCTTCTCGCTTTACATGTTTCTATCTTTCTCTTCTCTTCTGTCCTCCTCTCTTTTTATATATTTACATTTTCATATCGATCTTTCCTCCTTTCTCCATGTCTCTCTTTAAATGCTTTTTGCTACTTTGCTTGCGTAATTTCCAGTTTCCCTCAGAGATCGATCGATCGATAGATAGATAGATAGATATGTACAAACTGAGATAGATAGATAGATAGATAGATAGATAGATAGATAGATAGATAGATAGAAATGGAATGGGTTTGATATATAGATAGATATGAAGAGAACAAGATAGATAGATAGATAGATAGATAGATAGATAGATAGATAGATAGATAGATAGATAGATAGCTCGAAATCCCCTCTTTCCTCCTATATAATCTTGTCTTTTGCTTCATAGATATGTATTTAAAAACATATAATTTTTAAAAATAAATTTCTATATATAAATACATGCATTAAGATAGACAGATGTACGTCTCACGATTGTCTAAAGAGTTTGAAAACTAATTATACAGACCAAAATGTAGTGAGTTTGAACCCCATTTGGGGGGGGGGGCTTTTTTTAACAGATTAAGTTAAATTTAAAGGGCATCTACTACTGCGTTTTTTTTTCTCTCAAGCCAATTCAGTAGTGTAATTGATTTAATTCCTATGGGTGCTCCTCTACTGTAGGCTTTTCGCTTGACAAGGCGAGAAGCCTTATCGTAGAGTAGTAGCAAGTAAATACGCGTCACGTGTCATTATTATTTTCAAGATTCTAACTATCACTCTGTAATCCAGAACTGCGGTCTGGGACCAGACTATGCGATAGATAGATAGATAGAGAAATAGATAGATAGAGAAATAGATAGATAGATAGATAGATAGATAGATAGATAGATAGATAGATAGATAGATCTCTATTTCTTATACCAGGGCCGAAATTATGAATAAATTGTCCAAAGTTCAGTTTTTGTCGTTTGGTTCATGGACTTTCGACTATCATAAAAATACCAGAATTTAGTCAACAAAATTTGCTTCATGTCTACACATCTGTACAAGCACAAATGTTAAGAAATAATCTTTGATCCTTTATAAATTCCATACCAAGCCCTAAAAGAATCTACTAATAGAAATCGGCGTTCATTTTTCTTCTATTGATTAGGGGGACTTCGTTATGCCGATGACATAAGTATTCATAATTAAGATAAGGATGATCTTAAAACAATATCAACAATTTTTTACTAATATTTCAGTCAGTCAATTATATGCTATGCGTGATACACACTTACGATACATGACTGACGAGACAGATTTTTTTTCCCGCAGTAGGTTGCCATTTTTTCTGTAGTAGTCCAGTTGCCATATATAAGGCTATAGAATCCGGTCTGTCCTGATATTTAGAAAATATGCGTCCTCCGACAGGAATCGAACCTGTAGCCTATACGGAACTATCATATGGTAGGGTAATCAAGAGAGAAGTTGCGAAGAATAGGACTATAACTAGCCAAGAAATTACAACCAATCTAAGCGAAGAGCAAGGTGTTAGTCTTGCCTCTTCAACAGTCCGTCAGAACAAGGTTACAAATCTTGTTAGAACAAGGCTACAAATCTTGTACACGAAGGTTTAAGCCGTTAATAAGCAAAGCCAACAAAGCCAAGAGACTTGAATGGGCTCACTATTACAAAAATTTCACCGTAGATGAAACGAAAGTTGAGCTAAATTCAAAGGATAAGGTGAGTCACTTTTATCGAAAGCACTGTATATTCCTAAATATAATAAGTAAATATCCTAATTGTAATATAACTCCTAAGTATAAGTAAATATACCTAAGTAAAATAAGTATATATATTTTATAATATATATATATATATATATATATATATATATATATATATATATATATATATATATATATATATATAAGTATATATATATATATATATCTAAATCTTATATATAACATAATTATTGGGATATATTTGGTTGATTTGAGCGCTTTCTAATAAGTACCGCGCATATAATATATAAATAATTATACAAATAATTATACATATAATATATAAATAATTATACAAATAATTATTGCATTCAACATCATCACTTGATAAGACACCGTGAGTGTTGAAACAAAATGGATATTTTTGTAGTGATTTTATAACATGTTTATGTTATAAATTTTTTTAAATAAATAATTATAATATAATTATATATATATATATATATATATATATATATATATATATATATATATATATATATACATATATATTTATCAAACGTTATATATACAGAATTATATATATTCCATAAGATATATTGAAACATGGGTAAAGGGGAAGGGTCTAAAAATGCTGAAAAACATAAAATAACTAAGTTATTCAGTGAGGAAATGTCCACATTGGAGATATCAAAGGAATTTTGCAAAGATTCTCGAATGATAAAGATGGTTGCTAAAAGAATAAACTTTGAGAACCAATAGCAAAGAAAAATTCTTTAAAACTCGCTTCTTTAAGGGGAATGTAAAATAAAGCGAGTTATATTAAAACAACCACTTTTGTCCAATGATCAGATCTTTGAACAGACTGGAATTAAGGGAGTCAAGATGGACAAAAGGCGTAAAATTCTTCTCAAATTGGCATCTGTCAAGAAATCTTCGAGAACTCCTCTCAGTAAAGCAAATTTTTAAAGCGTCAAAATTAGGCCAAGAAATAGATAAAAAATAGATTTTTGTAAAATAATTTTTACATACGAATCTCAGGTGATATTCGATGCACCTGGTGGATGGCCAGAGGCTGGATTTTATCTGATGCAGATGATCCTGTGGCTAAAAGAAGGTGTCAAGAAGAACGCAGTGTGATGATATGGGCTGGAATTGTTGACCAAGCCATTATTGAACCATTCAAATCGACGAAGGAAGATGAATGGAGGCATAACGTTGCCATCAATAGCGATCACCCTAAGCATCTTCGTAATCACCATTAAACGCATCCAACTCTTTTCGAATCCTCTGCACTGTTCTCAAATTGAAACAAAACCACTCTGAAATTTTCTTAATGGAGCTTCTGGCGCCAATGTCAAGCATTACAGCATGCCTTTTCCAAATTTCTGGCAGAGTGAATTGCGTCATGGTACTCTTTTTTCTTCACACAGACTGTGCCTAACTGACACCCACTATACTGTGCAGTCGACAAAATCAAAAACAAACAACGCGCATGCGCGAAATGAAAAATATAAAATGGCGACAATTTACCAATCGCATCCAGGTTTAACGTCAGTGGAGTACCTTTGCAGGGGAGCGGTCAACCCTGTTTTACTAGGGCGTAATGGGATGCCAAACTGTACTGTTCACGACCTACATCCAAATGTTACACATGGCTCCAAGAAGTTACATGGTCATTACGACGGCCACACACCGGTTAACGGCATCGACCTGCCGGATAAATTGTGTAAGTGTAGTCAGAAGGGTCCCGACCCGACCCGACCCGACCCGACCCGACCGGTGAAAGGGAATGCCTTTCTACAGCTCACCATTTACACAAGATCATTAGCTAGGATTTCCTCTGTCCCTCTTGACTTTAATCTGTCCTGTGATTATCAACGTTTCTAAGCCCTCTTTCCTCATTATGCGGCCTAGAAATTTTAACTGCGTCTTTTTGATATTATGTATAAGTGTCCTTTTTGTTTCCATTTTCTCTAAAACTTTATCGTTGCTCACATGTCCAGTTCATATTCTCAGTATCCTTCTGTAGAACGACATTTCTGTTGCTGCAAGTCTCTTCTTCACCTGTGAGAAGATTGTCTGGCATTCACTGTCGTATGGAAGTACCCTTTTCTTTGTTTCTAACGAAATTTTCTTGTTTCTTAATACTTTGCTTAGCTTTTGAAAGGCCTCTTTCGCCATCCGATTGCGCCTTCGGATTTCGGTGTCGAACTTTTCGTTCTCTGTTAAAACACTTCCCAGATATTTAAGTTCTCGTACTCGTTGATTTTGAAATTTCTAATTTGCATATCAGGCTGTTCCTTTTGCTTATAACCATGCATTCTGCCTTCTTGCAGTTGATGTTTAGTCCTTTCTTCTCGTTTTCCTTCACTACATTCTGGAGGAGTTCTTGTAGTTTTCTTAAGTGTCTGCTATCAACAGTGTCTCATCTGCATATATTATGTTAAGATTGTGGCCGCCAATAACGAATCTTGGTAGAACTTTTACTTCTCTCAGAATCGCCTCACTGTATAAATTGAATAAGTCCGGCGAGAAGACCCATCCTTGTCTTACACCCGTTTCTATTTTTTATATATTTACCGAATTTACTTTCTATCTGTATATTGGCAGTGTTCTGCCAGAGTATGTTCTGGATTATTTCAATATCCTTTCCAAATATTTCAAGGTGACTTAGAATTTCCAAAAAGTTAATTAAGATTTTCTCTATGACTTTGTTATTGCCTACCTGTTTAGTTCAAGGTATTCTCGGCATCCTTCTGTGCAACCACATTTCTCTTGCTTCAAGTCACTTCTTCATTTGTGGGGAGATTGTCCAGGATTCACTTCCGTGTAGGAGGATTGTTAGTAGGTACACTTTTCTTTTTTTCTAACGAGATTTTCCTGTTTCTTAATACATTGTTTAGTTTTTGGAAGGCATCTTTCGCTATCCCAATGCGTCTTAGGATATCAGTGTCGCGCTTTCCGTCCTTTGTTAAAATCCTTACCAGATGTTTAAATTGTTGCAGTTGCTTAATTTTGGTATCCTCAATCTATAATTTGTCTGTTAGGCTGCCCCTTTTGCTGACAACCATGCATTCTGTCTTCTTACAATTGATGCTTAGTCTTTTCTTCTCGCTTTCCTTCACTACATTCTGTAGGGATTCTTGTAGTTTCTTTTCCATGTTTTTGCCAACACTGTGTCATCTGCACACCTTTTGTTGTTAAGATAGTGGCTGCTAATAATAAATCCTGTTATTTCTTCTCAGAATCGCCTCATTGTATAGGTTAAGTCCGGTGAGAAGACACCTCGTTGTCTTCGGATTTTAGTGTCACACTATTCGTCCCCCGTTAAAACACTTCCCAAGTATTGTTGCAGAGGGTGGTCCAAAATTTTTGTCACCCCATACATAATATATTCTATTAG